CCCCCAAAACCCCAAAACCCCAAAACCCCTTGAACACAGTTCCAAAAATGTTAATTTTCAATATAAATATTCTGTTTGCTTCCAAAATGGTAGCCCGAAGTATACCTTTTCCTGCTTAGTGTTTACTCCTTGCGGTCTTCAGTCAGTTCTTTTTCCTTAATAGTCTTTCTAAGCTGTATGATCCTGCTCTTCTTTCTACGGAGAATTGCCTAGATGGAGTCAAGGTGAGGTGTGGGTGTGGGATAGGAGGATGGCTGATTTGGAATGAGCTTTTTAAAGGAGTTGAAATGAAGGGTTTTAGGAAAGGTTTAGGAGAAAAAGGAGTTTTGAGTGAGTGGAGTGTTTGGTGGGCGGATATTGGGAAAGAGAAGGGAAAAGGGGAAGGAAATTGAATTTGAAGAGTTTGTTGCAGGGTTCTATAGGCTAGGAATTTTTAATCACTGAATTTGGATATGTATAAGTTAAATAATGAAGAATTACTCATGGTTGGAAAATAAAGGATAAGAAGTACTTTAAGAAGTTTGATAATCTGGGTTTTTCTAAATTTTAAATGGAATTTTTTAAATATTTTTCATTAAAAAATGCATAATTTTGAAGAGTTATTGTTGAAACTAAAGTTACCTTTTTACTTGGAGATCATGAACTCTGAGATAGTACTTTAATATTATTCTGATCATTTATCGTCTTCTTAAGTTGTTTTATGGTCTGGGGTTGTGCTCTAGGAGGAATCTGAGGATTAGAGTCTCTTTTTCATAATTCAGATTCTTCTTTTGGCTATATTTTTCTCATTAAGATTATATTTCGGAAGCGTAAAAATCTTTAGAAATTTCATAATAATAATAAAAACTGGTGATTAAACATAACTTAACACTGAATTTTAGGTATTTCTATTAGTAAATTTTGATCAAAGATCTTGTCATAAATAACTTCCATTCTCTAAAATGATTCAAAATTATCAATCTCAACAGTCTTTGCCCCAAATTTATAATATAATTTCAATTTTTTAGCACAACAATTTCTCATAAAACGACTTAAATCATCCATCTCTTCATAACTTAAGTAGCACACCTTATGTTCTGGAGGGAAAGTTGGAGTCTGGTCTGCATATTCCTGCATCACTGAATTTTTATTATGCCTTATTGTCTTCTGATTTTTCAAAACCTATTAAAAAATAAAATTATGTTATTAAAAAAATGTCATGTTAAAGCAAATTGCTTTAAATTGGAATATAAGACGCTTTCAGTCCTGGTAGTTCAAATTTGTTGAAGCTTGTACTAATTATCCATAAATAACCGGAGCATGAGGAATTGTGGGTATTCTTTAATCCATGGGCCGTATACAATCTGGTAAAGTGTAAGATTACCTTAATCTTCTCCTTTTTCGTATTGATTACAGGCAAATTATGCTGGTTATTTATAGCTGTTGTCTCTTGGGAAGAATTTTCTCAACCATCTATTTCAAAATTAGCACCAAAACGCTCACTTTTCTCGTCCTTTTTACCATCAAAATCTGTGTGGCTGTTATATCGCCGGATCTTGATCCTCTTGGGTTTGAGGGTTTGGGAGGATTCCTGCTCTATTTTCTTGACCATTTCAGGTGTCGCTCCTAGTCTCCTGGCAAAATTCATCTTCAATAGTGATAACGATTTATTTTCTATATTTATTCTTTTGTTGATATTCTTAAAATAAAAAGTTACAAAATTTAGAAAGTAAGTTTAGAATTGTTTTAAGCAATAAATTTCCTTTTATTAGGACACTCATTGGTAGGATAACAGAACATACATTACATTCGCACGGGAAGAAGATTTAAGCTTGCTCAATGATAATGGGGTCTTTGCTCTCACCTTCTTCAATTGTTTCTTTGGCTGGCTCTTTACTTTATCAAGCGTCTAAATTTTGCATAACTTAAGGATTTCTTATGATAGCACTTACAGTCAGTTTATTAACTGAGATGGTAGTTTCAGACAATTTTCTAGCGTTTGGCCTTGGTACTCCCAACTGAGCTTCTTGTTTTCGATCAAATATACTGGAAGAGGAAGAACTATGATTAGCATTGGTAGTGTTACTCATCAATTTTATCCTTGTTCTCTGAGATCCTGAATCTGTAGCTATTCTTACTATCTTGATTTGAAATCTGACTCGTCTCCAGCATGATTCTTAAGTTATTTTCAGTTTTATTAAGTCTTTGATTTGTAGCATCCAAAGCTGACAATTTTGTCTCTTCCCTTACTTGAAGAGGAGTGTTCAAATAATCTGGTCTAAGTGCATTTCTGGAATAATTTACGGTCGGCATTGCCATTGTAGGCATACTACCCGAATTAAGACTCTCGAGTTGACCATTAAATTGAGAGAGTAATAACTGTATTAAGTTATTTCCCAAAATGCATAAATCATTTTTCTCATGTAAGAAGTTGCCTCATTGCTTGTATTCAGTTGTGTCAGTGCCCTTGATGCGCAAATTCTGTAAAACTATGATCTCTCTGGTCCATCTTCTCTAATATTATCAAAAATAATGTTCAATTATTTTATTATTATTTGGGGTTTTGGGGTTTTGGGGTTTTGGGG